TCGGCGGGGTCGCAGCTGCCTCTGGAAGGCACCGAGAGGGACAAAATGGCGCAAATGGTCAAATCAAGGTTTTGTAACGCGATATGTGCCACAGTAAAATGGCACTAGCCTGTGTGTCTCTTTCGCAAAAACACAACCCGGGACCCGAAATCTGTTGTTGTGCTTGTGTCGAGCAGCCTCGGGCCTCGCAGAAAAAGTCAATACATTGCAACCTGTAGAGAGAGAGAGATTTAGGTTTTAGCAACACCATTGTTTTTGAACTTTGAAAGTTTGATGTTTTTGTCGTTGCAATCTATAATATATCTATATACCATATACGAACCGGTCACCCCCCCTGCGGCAAACCTGCGGCGCTGCGCGCGCCGGGGCCACGGGCACGGCCCACGCGCCCGCGGCTGCCATGCTACGACTTTCCCACAGTCTCCGAGTTTCACAAATACTTCCGGACTGCATGCGCATGCCCCCCACGCGTGAAGAAGACGCGCCACAATTTAACGACACCGCGCCACGCGTTGTTCCGTTGACACACATACGATAGAGAAGAAACAGATGGTAACGTATCAGTGTCGTGCTCTCGACCTCTGAATGGCCGGGAGCGCCGCTCCGGGCTCGTTTCGCGCGCGCGGGTGTGCTCACTGCGACCAGCCCCAGAAGCTGTTCGGCGTGTCTCTCCGCTCGTGCACGGCGCGGTGTCGCGAGCAGTACCCGTGCAGCGACCGTCCCGCCGCCGCGTGCTGCCCGACATACCCTGCGGCCTCGAAGAAGGCGTTGCACTCGACGCAGAAGTGGGCCGGCATGCGCGCCCGCTCCGCCTGGTTGCGCACCACCTCGCACACCACCGGCACGTGACCCCGCCGTCCCTCCCCCATCCCCTGCGGCTGTGGCGACGCCAGCGGCGGCGACTGCTGCGGCGACGGCTGGTGCGGCGGCGACGCTTGCGGCGGCGACGGCCGCGGCGACGGCTGCGGCGACGCCTCCCGTGGCCGCCGCCGCTGCTCCTGCGGCGCTGCAGCCGTGCGTGCGAGTGGCTGGCCGAGTTGGCCGAGTGGCGACAGGGGCGGCGAGCCGTGCCGGGAGGCGAGGCCGGCGTGGGGGGCTTCGCGCGGGTTTCGGATGAACCTGGTTCGGCGAACGCCGCTGTCGAGGCTGAGCCCTCCGCGCCGCTTCGCGCCGCCCCTCGCGCCGCCCCGCCCGCGGCCCGCCGGCGGCAGTGGCGCGGGAGGCGCGGGAGGCGCGGGAGGCGCGGGGCGCCCTCCTCCGGCGCCCTCGTCTTGCGACTCGCTGAACTCCTCCACCGAGTCCTGGGGGGATGGGGGAGGGCGTGAGCCCTGGGCGGCCGGACCACCGCAGTGTTCTCTCACGCGGGCCAATCAACGGAAGGGTCTCGGAAGCGGCGCCTGAGTCGGCGGCTCGTCGCGTGCGTCGCGAAGCGTCTCGGCCCACTGCGTGCCTGCGTCGTCGATGGGGTCGTCGAGTGGCAGCTCCGCCGAGGCGGAGGCGCCGCCGCCCGCCAGCCGAGTGACGTCGAGGTTGGTCGCGACGAGCGGCGAGGAGGAGAGCTCGCCAGCGGGAGAGGCGGCGGCGGGAGAGGGGACAGCGGGAGAGGCGGAGCCTGCCCCCGGCGGCGACTCGCCCGCTGCGCGCTGCGCATCCAGCGGCGGGCCCTCCGGAGAGACGTCTGCTGCTCGCGGCGCACGCCTCTTGTCGCCGAGCAGGGTTCGCACGGCACCCAGTAGCGCTTCCGTCGCCGCCAGGCTGCTCGTGCTCTGCTCGAGCAGCGCGTGGTAATCCTGACGGAGCCGAGCGAACTCGGCTGCCCCAGGGGCCAAGCGCTGGTTGGCGGAGGGCATCGGTGCTGGCGAGTAGAGACCACGCCTGCTATTCACAGCACAAGCCCTCGCCAGGGGCTCGAGCATGCGCAGCGAAAAGCAGGCGTGCGGCATGCGGAGCTCCCCACCGGCGGCGGGCTTGAAGACACTGAGCCGAGCGCGCCGGCGGCGGACCGCCGCCGGCGCGCTCGCTTCGGCGGATGGCTGAGCGGCACAGTTTCTGGCCGCCCGGCCTGCGAGCAGTCGCCGCGAGACGATCAAAGGCGCTCAATTCAAGCGCGCCGCCATGCCAGATCTCGCCCCACGCCCCGGCCAGACCGGGCAGTGCGTGCAGGAATGATGCAGGCATGATGGGTGGGTGTGGTGAGCACGCCAGCGGCACCGCTGCGCACTATCAGGGTCGCAGCCGCCTATCTCGTGAGGGGCGTGGCTCGGGGCGGGTGCGAGAGAGTCGAGGAGCGCGGCGCGCGTGCGCGCGCGTGGTAAAGTCGGTTTATATTTCATCACTGGTATAAAAGAGACCCAAAACGGCACTCGCGCCGCGCCCACGCGCGCTCGTATCACCTCAACACTCACACAGCACGCTTGAACGAGGCCCCCGAGGGGCGAGCCGGACCGGCTGTGGACTTGATTGGACTTGACGGTTCTCTTCGCAGATCCATGAGGAGCTGTGAGGAGGCACATTTCCGGCTGGTTTCGGCTCCAGCAACTGCTAGCATCACGTGGAACCGCCGGCGGGGCGAGAGCCAGCAGCGGGCAAACCGCGCCTCCGGTGCTCCGCTGCGATGACGAGCTGGCGCCAGCCACGCGCGGCCTGGCCAGGTCGGCAGACGAGCAGCAGGCATGCCGAGCGCGCGCGCGCGCGGCGGTCTCGTTGAGGCGGCAGAGCAGGCCGCATGTTGAGCAAAGAGGGCTCCAACACCCATCCTCGCCGAAAGACGGCGATCCAACGCTCCACTTGTCACACGCCTCCTTTTTCCAGCGGATCCCCCCCTGTGAAAAAGTGAGGCGTGGTCTCTACTCGCCAGGCATCGGTGGCTGGGCGGCAGCACTGAAAAAAGAAAAAACCCAAACCTCCCTGGCCCTGGATGGGGGGTTTCCGACTGCTGCCCTCCAAGTGCTCCAAGTCCCCGGGACCTGGGGTTTGGGCGCGCTCCCCGGTTTTGCTGGCAACTTGTGCCCCCCCCCCCCCGCCCCCCCCCCCCCCCTTCCTTCCAGCGGAGGCCAAACATCATTATTCAGGGAGGGTCAACTGCGCGGCCGGCCTCCCCCTGCAGCCGATGTAAGTCCGAGCGTGATCGCTCAGGAAGGCGTGTCTGTCTGCGGCAGCAAGCGAGCCTCCCGGTCGTCCCGCCGACGCCACACTAGCTTGCAGTGCCCGGAGTGCTGTAGGGCGGCAGAGAGGAGCTGCAGGCTTGTGATCACGAGCAGGACCGCGTGGCTGGCGGCGAGGCCCTTCGGCCATTTTCGAGTCCGTTTTTCTGTGTACCTACACTCACAACAATGAGACGTGTGAGCAGCGTGGTGCCGTCTCCCTTCCACTCGGGCGCCGCGTGCACATGGCAAAGACTGAAAATGGGAACAAGCGGTCGATGCCGTGAAGCACCGGTCTGGGGAGGCCGAGCGCCGCGCCGATTTCGTTTTTGCTGTCTGCGTCGGCGTTGTTTGCAGCCCAGCCCAAGAGACAGAGGAGTGTGAGCAGCGACCCAGCCCACGCAAGGCTACTGGATACGGTTACGGAGCACGCGCCCTCCCTGCGGCCAGCGTCTTCGGGCGCCAGAGACTGGCGCAGCCCTGCTCTGACCTGCGGAAGGAGGGCCGCGCCAAGCACGCCGAGCAGCACGCAGTTGCTCATGAAGTTGGCTCCGAGGACGGCGAAGTTGAAGGCGTGGAAGCCGATCGCGCTGGCAACGAATGCGAGGTGGACGTAGCCGCAGTATTTCGCCCGCAGGGGAGCCGGCAAGACGAGCACGAGCGCCGGCAGCAGGAGCTCAAAGGCCATCGCGCCCCAGCTGAGCAGCGGGACGTGCTGGTCGAGCGCGATGACGCGGTCGAGGAGCCACGGGCACGGCGATCGCTGTCGGATCCCGGACGTTCCCTCCGTCAGAGCGAAGTGGAGCCAGTCCCCGTTGAGCACGGCTGTGACCCCAGCGTATCGGATCTTTGACAGCCCGGCCGCGAGGTAGCCAGAGGCGAGCACGCAGAGGGCGAGGAACTGGGTGAGCCAGCGCCCCGCGATGTCGCCAGCGGCGTCGCGGCCGCCGAGGAAAGGCATAGCCAGCGCCGCCGCCACCACAAACAGACTCAGCGGCTGGTTGGTATGCGACATGTCGGACGTCAGATTGAGCACGGCGAGCATGGAGTACGGCGCCACGCCGGCGAGGAAGCAGCACGTCGACGCGCGGCGGTAGCGCGGCGGGAGGCAGAGGAAGCAAAGCCACGCCGCGAGAAGCAGCCTCCGAGCAGCTTCGAGCCTTGCGCTGCTCTTGGTATATATGTGATTCCACAGCGGGGTCCGCAGCGTGCCCCCGCCTGACACAAACTCTGGGAGCTGCATGGCGCACGATTCGGGAGCCTGGAACGCGCCAACCTCGAGGGTCAGCTGCGCGGCGACGTGGAGCTGTAGCAGCTCGACAGTGAACCGCGGCCATCCGGTTTGCGGCCCATCGACGGGTTGCTGCTCTGCACCGTCGAGAGAGCGCCACCACCGCCAAGAGGCTAGGCACAGCAGCGCTGCGCAAACGGGCAGGAGCGCCCAGGCGTGGATGGCGCGCTGCATGCGGAGGGCGTTCAAGCCACGTCTCGCGTCCGAGCCCTTGCAGCGAGCGCATGTGGTGGGGAACCACCGGCAGATGGTGAGGTTGCCTCGCGCTGAGAACCACTCTTGGCACTCCCGAGGCACGAGCGAGACGTTCACCTGCTTTGGCAAAAGCGAGGCATTCGCGCCGATCACGGCGCTTTTTGCCTTGGTGGTGGTGGTGGTGTGGTGGTGGTGATGGTGGTGGTGATGGTGGTCATCGGCACGCTTGGCGCTCGTCGCGAGCAGGGTTAGCGAGATCGCCAGCATTGAACGCCGGAGCATCTGTGACGCTGTTCACATAACGCTGTTCACATAACGCTGTTCACGGTAGGGTGATAAGAAACAAGAACCTCGCATGCGACGACAGTGAGGGTGTGAGAGACAGACCCAGGGAAGGTCTTTCACTACCTTACAGCCCCTGCCTGAGCTCACTCGACAGGAGGTCGGTTTGAACATTGCGCTTAGCGTGTGGACCACTTGCTCGATGTCCCGCCTCACGCAAAAACACAACCCCGGACCGACGCGCGACGGTGTTCACGTTTCACATACACGCACAACCCCGGGCCCGAAATGTGACGCTTCACAGGTAAATAAGCTAGGGCTATCTTGCCCGCAACCCGATCCCGATCATCCGGCCCGCTGGGACCTGGGTGCGCTTCTCAGCTCCCCGGCCCTGGATGTGAGGTAATGACTGCACTCCAAGTGCTCCAAGTGCGGGCAAAAGCCAAAAAAGTGCAAAAGGCGGTCGCACTCCAAGTACTCCAAGTGCACTGCACGATTCACAGACCTTGTTGTTGAGAAGAAAATACGTCAGATGGCGCTGTGCGCTGGTCTATGAGAGGTTGAGGTGCGAGCCCTGGAGGCCTTCACAGACCTGTTATCGCTGCTCTTCAAAGGCGGGCGAGAGCTAGAGCCGCGATGTGGTTGTGGTTGTTGCGCACACCCCTGGCTTTTAACATGTGTACGTATAGACTGAGTTAGCCCCGCTGGTTCTTGGTTGGGGCAGGCGTGCGCCGGTGTCGTAAAATTCTTGGCTCCGGTGGTGTGCCTGTGATAGTGCCAGCACGCGCCAGTCCGCACCTGTGTCGAGCCTGTCTGCTGTGCGAGCTTGTCTTTGTTTCTTTGTATTGGCAACTGTGGCCGCGACGGTTACACACAGTCGTGCGTCCTGGCCAATGGCCATCCCGCTGATGCCCTCCGGCACAGGAGGCAGCGGCAGGCTGTGCTGGTACCGCGACGAAGCCGTCCGCACAGCCGCAGTCTACGAAGATATCAGAGGCGGCGACTGTGGTGCGCCGCCGCCGCCGAGACCGGAAGCCGATGCCGCGCAGGTGCAGGAGGTGCAGCGGCGAAAGGAGGCCCTGGCAGCCGTGGCGGAGGCGTCGCGCAAGGTGCGGCTGGAGCATACGAGCAGGCACGGCCCAGCGAACCCTGCCGCGCGGGCTCGAGCTCACCGCCGGGAAGAGGTGAGTTACTCGACTCCAGAGGTCAGCTCCGTTCCCCGCCATGAGCCTCTACCATGCCTTGCTGACGCAGGCCGCGCACAAGCGCAAGGCTGCCCTCGATGACCTCAAGTTGTCGGCGGCGCGGGCAAGGCAAGTGGCGCGTCCAATAGCCACCGCCGCGGGCGGCCGCTCGATGCGCTTCTCAGACGCCCCTCGCGCAGAGGCGCCGGGGCGCGGCGCCGCGCTCGCCTTGCTCGCGGCAAAGGCGGCGTCCAATTTAGCAAGGACGCACACGCGAGAGCAGCAGCAGGCGGCGGCGTGGCACGAGCGGACGCACCCCGCCGCCCGCCCCGCCAACCCTGCCAAGCAGCGGTGTCCACGTTGTGCGGCGTTGCTGCCTCGCCAGCTCCGCTCGTGCCCGGGCTGCTTGCACGACTGGGCGGCGGACGCGGCGGCCGAGGCTAGCAAGCGGCGGCTTGTGTGGCGGAAGTCGCCGGCCGGCACGAATCACCGCCAGAGCGTCGCACCAAAGAGGTGATGTCGCTTCCAAGGACGCGTTCCACTGCCTCATCACCTTGATAGAAGGTGCCCGACGTGCTCCGCATCGCCTTCTCTGACCGCCCTTCGCGCGGTGTGTGTGCGCGCGCTCTACGCGCGCGGTGTGTGTGTGTGCGGGACCGTCCCCACGGGTTCTTCGCGGTGTGTGTGTGAGTGTGTGCGCGCTCTACGCGCGCGGTATGTGTGTGCGGGACCGTCCCCACGGGGTGCGCCCACGCGTGTGAGGTGTGTGGACCAAAGGTGAGCGCTTGTGTGCACCAGCTTTGGTGCGTCGTACATACAACACCGTTTTCATATGGATACACATACACACAGGCACTCACACGTCGCAGGAAGCTGTGACAATCACCGGCACGTAGAACCAAGACACCAATCAGCGACGTAGTCACCATCGAGCGCATACGATCCTATCGACGATCCTACGGGCGGCATACGTTCCTACGGCGCCACATATTGACGGACTGGGGTCTCACACCAACCCCTTCTCCGCTCCCGTCTTACCCGCATCGAAGGTGTAGTCGCCGGTAAAAGTGCCACGAATAGCGCCGCTGTTTTTGTCACCGCTTGGCGAGGCGCCCCTAGCGCCGCCGACAAGGTAGAAGACGGCAGAGCCAACGAGGCAGAAGGCAACGTTGACCAGATAGACCGCGACCAGGTTGCCGTCGTTCAAGTTGTTGGGTGTCCACTCCGCCATCGCTTGCGTCATCGCTGCGGAGACCGCGTTGGGCAGCCCGCCTGCCGGAGGGACGAGGGCGGGCGTGTGCAGCCAAACAGGGGCGTGCGCAGCCGGCAGCATCGATGCAGCATGTCTTCGTGGGACACAAGTGAATTCCTATGGAGACGTGGCGAGATACAGAGTCTTGCGCATCTTGGGTGGGCCGCCCATGGCGAAGAGGCACAGCGCCTGCATCAGCGAGCGGTACGCGGGGTCGGCGCCATCGTAGGCGATGTACTGCAGCACGGGGTTGCACAGCACCTCGCCCGTCCCCATCATGGCATATGGGATGACCATCCAAAAAGCGCTCATGGCGGTCATCTCGACGTGTGAGCCATCTGGGGAGAGGGAAAGAATTGGCTGGAGGACGGGAGGCTGGAGGAGGGGAGGCTGCGGGCAGGGGACTGCGGGTGGCGGCGCGGATCTGACGAAAGCTGCCTGGCTTGAGCGGCGCGCAGTTGGAGCCGATCGGGAGCACCTCGGCCTGGCGCCGGTGGTATTCGATGACCGCCGCAACCAATTGTGAAGCCGCGCCCATGAAGATGCCGCACATCACCTTGAAGGTGCCCGACGTGCTCCGCATCGCCTTCTCGATGACGGGGGTCAGGAAGACGACGGCGATGGAGCTGCCCAGGTTGAAGAAGGCTGCGTTGAGCTGCATACCATCCGACCCCACGCGTGTGTCCATCTGGCACCCCTGCTCGTAAAAGTAGGAAAACATTGTGTTGTAGAGTGTGTCGAAAGTCACGTTGCCCACGACGACCACCGGCACGATATCGAGGCACCTTGTCACAGCGTCGGGCTTGCCTGCCGCAAGTAAAACGGGGGACGTTAATCGGTGTGCGGCGAGAGGGAAAGGGGCGTCGGAAGTGTGTCGGAGGCGTCCTCGCACCGAGCCACGAGTTGTCGCGGTGGGCCACGCAGAGGCACCCGATGCAGAGCAAGTCGGCCGCCAGGCTGAGGGTGGTCAGGAAGGGCCACGGCACGAAGACCTGCAGGATCGACAGCACAATGATCGTCGGCAGCAGCACCCAGCCCAGCAGCGAGATCTTGCCCTTGGCCGTCCCTCGCCCTTCGAGGATCCGAGAAAAGAAGGGCCCGAGCACGGGGCGCGAGGCGCACTCGAAGCTCTCCTTGCGATAAATGGGCGTGCCCGCAAAGAAGACCGCCACGGCCGTCGCCATCAGGCCGGCGGTGAGGACGTAGCAAAAGAAGAAGCCGTCCTCGATCGCAATGTACCCGGGCAGGCCTGCAGAGGGAGCCAGTGTTCTGCAGCGGCCTGCAAAGCCCTCCACGCAGCCATGCCGTGCTGCACGGGACACACATATTCTGAATCGAATGTGAGAAGCCCGACACTCGTGCATACTGCACGCGTGTACTCTCAGGCATCTAGGTGGGCAGGGCCCGAGGTGGCGACGTTGGCCAGGAAGCCAAACGCGACGAGGCAGCCGACGTTCACGGTGAGGTAGAGGTACATGAAGAAGGAGGACTTGTGCGCCTCAGCGCCCTCGGTGGCGGGGTCGATCTGGTCAGCGCCGAACGGGCTGATGTTGGGCTTGATGCCTGCGCACCACGCCAGTCCCAAGTGAGCACGCTGCTCAGAGCGCTTGGGGTGACGAAACTGTGGGACGGGGCATTCCAGACGCCGTGGCATCACACACGCATCGGTTCAGCTACGGGGTGACGAAATTAGACTGCAGCGAAGGCGGCCGCGCGGCGCAGTGAGAGCTATCGAAACGGGTCGGGCACCTCCCGTGCCGAGCGCAACGAGCACCAGGACACCGAAGAGGAAGAGAGGGACAGATTCCTACAAGCAGCTGGCATGGTGAAGAGCGCCTTGCCCAGCCTCCGGCAGCCTCGACGCGGCGACCCAGGTTCCAGTACCGCGGCGCTGGCCGGGGCAGTGCAGCGATATGTTCAACATCTAGGGGCTCTCCTCGCCGGGCCGCGTCGCCAGAGCGGCGAGGGCGCAGCCGATCGCGTAGATGATGGCAAACCCGAGCACCGTCTTGTATCGACCAAACTTGGTCTCTGCGAGCCAGCCTCCCAGGAAGCAGCACGAGAACGAGAGCAGCGTGAAGATCTGGTGCACAGACGATGAGTCGGCGTTGGAGAAGCCCTGGTTCTGCAGCCAGCTCTTCATGGTGGAGACGAGTGTGTTGAGCCCAATCCGTTCGCAGAGCTCCACAATCACGATGCATGCTAATGCGCCGAACATCCCCCCGGATCATCGCCTGGCTGTGCTGCGAATGTACTCTGCAGGTACTGAGGACGTACGCAGCACCATCTTTCATCCCGAGCGGAGGACCAACCTCGGAGAGAGATACGGATTGGTGTAGTTAGATATGCGGATTTGTGTAGGTACTAAGGTACTTTGTGGGAACTTTGTCAGTGTGCGTCTTCTCTCTCTCAGTGTACGTGTACTTGTCTCGGCACGCGATATACACAGCGCGGAAGCGTCGCCACCAGTCGTCGCCCCGACGCTCGCGCCGCCTTCGAGCAGCAGCCTCGCGCAACGAAGTTCTTTTTGCCAACTTAAAAAGAAAAAATCGGTCGCCGCTCGCTTGCGCGCCAACCGCGAAGGCAGCCCCAACTCCATCAACCGGGATGCCTGCGGCACCCGATGCGCTGGCCTTCCCGAACGAGGCGGGCGCTGTCCGACTCGACCGGATTGAGGCCGCGCCGCCCGTCCCCGCCAGCCCCCCTCCCCCCCCCCCTTTCGCGCCTGCGCCGGCCGCCGACCGCTCCCGCCATTCCCGCCGCTTTTGCAGATCGAGAACTTCAAGTCGTACGCAGGCCGCCAGGTCGTGGGGCCACTGATGGATATGAACGCGGTCGTCGGGCCCAACGGCTCAGGCGTGCGAACGGCGCGCCTGCGACGCCGCTGCGTGCATCGCGCCGACGCCTGCCCCCCGCCTCGCGCAGGCAAGTCCAACCTGATGGACATGATCGCCTTTACTGTGGGCCTCTCCTCCTCGGATCTGCGAGGCAAGACGCTCAAGGACCTGGTCTACCGCAACAGCCCCGACGAGGACATCTGTGCGCCGCCGTCCCTGCATGCCCCGCCGCCCAGCCGCCGCCGCCACCCGCCGCCGCCGCCTGCCGCCGCCGCCGCCCCTCGCCGCCGCCAGCATCGTCGCCGCGCTCGACGCCCCCGCCGCTCGCCACCGCCACCGCCACCGCCACCCCTCCCCCACCGCCCTCCCCCACCCCTCTCCCACCGCCCTCCCCACCCCTCCCCCCACCGCCCTCCCTGCCCGCCCAGCCGAACGAGGTGCCTCCGTCTCGCTGGTCGTCACGTGCGACGGCGCGGAGACGCGCTTCACGCGGAGCATCACCCCGGCGGGCGTGGGAAAGTACTCGGTCAACGGCAAGACGGTCCGCCACTTCCTAGACACTTCCTAGACACTTCCTATCGGCAAGACGGTCAGCGCGCCGCACTCGCTCCTGCGCTCCCTCCGCTCTCCGCTGCTCTCCTCCCTCTGCTCTCCGCCCCTCCTTCCCCTCCTTCCCCTCTCTCCCTGCGACCTTCTCCGACCCTCCCCAAACAGGTCAGCGCGCAGGCGTACGACGAGAAGCTCAAGACGTTCGGCGTCCTCTCCAAGGCCCACAACGGGTTCCTCGTCTTCCAGGGCTACGTGTCCGAGCTGGCGCAAAAGTCTGCCAAGGAGCTCTCGAAGCTGTTCGAGCAGATCTCGGGCTCCGAGGAGCTGACGGAGGAGTACGACGCACTCGCCGCCGAGAAGAAGCGCGCCGAGGAGGAGCAGATCTTCAACCAGCAGAAGAAGAAGGGGCTCGCGCAGGAGCGTCACTTTAATTTATTTAATTAATTACTACAATTAATTAAGTTAATTAATTGGGGCTTGCGCAGGAGCGTGCCATCATGAAGCGGCAGAAGGAGGAGGCGGAGGCGTACCAGGCGCTGCTCGGCCGGAAGCGCGAGCTGCAGCAGCTGCAGTACCTGCAGAAGCTGTACGGCATCGAGCACGAGATCGTGACGCTGCGCGAGCAGCTCGGATCCGAGGCGAGACGCGGGGAGACGCGGGGAGAGACGGGGAGATCAACCCCCCCCCCCCCTCCCCTCCCCCCCCTTCTCAACCCCCCCCCTCCCCCCTCCCCCTCCCCCGAGGCGGCCGCCCTCGACGCGGAGAGCGAGAGGCACGCCACCGCCGAGGCGACCCTGCGCGCGAGCGAGAAGGAGCGCCGCGCGGCTGGCGGAGAGGAATGAAGGAGTTGGTGAATCAGCTAAGTACTCTCTGATTCACTACTGAAGGAGCGCGCGCGGCTGGCGCGGCGCGCGGTCGACCTCGAGCGGCAGCACGCCTCCCTGCTGCAGAAGGTCGAGACGCATGCACCCCTGCCACGCGGTTTCTGAAGTCGGCCTCACTGTTGTGAAGAGTCGAGTCTAGGTTGAGAAGCAGAACCCCGGCGCGATCAAGCTGCGCGAGGAGATCAGGCACGTCGACCGGCGGCGCGCCACGCAGGCCAACACGCCCATCACTCCCTCCATCACACCCTCCACCACACCCTCCCATCACGCCCTCCATCACACCCTCCCGCGCCGCGCAGGCCAAGTCGCTCGACAAGGTCGAGGAGGCGCACAAGGCGGCCACCAAGCAGCAGAAGGGGCTCGAGAAGCAGCTCGCCGACATCTCGGACGCGCTCGCCCGCGCGACGGCGGAGCAGCAGGAGGCGGAGTCGCGCGGGGAGGTCGAGATGAACAAGCGGCAGCGCGACGAGTACTCGCGTCTCAAGGGGGAGGCGGGCGCAAAGTCGGCGGCGCTGCACGAGCAGCTCTCTGCGATGACGCGCGAGCTGCGCTCGGACGAGCTGCTGCTGATGCAGGGCCGCACCAAGCTCGACGAGCTCGCGGCGCCGCACACCCCCTGAATTAACCTCCCTGACTTGGCCCCCCACTTAATGAATCGCTGCTCGAATGAGTGCCTCCTCGCCCTCCTCTGCGAGGGCCCTCGCCGAGATGCGTCACCTCACTTGAGATGCGGCACCTCCCTTCCCTCATGAAGGCGAGGCGGGGCGTGCTCGAGGGGCGGCTGGGCGGCTTCGAGGAGCGGAGGAAGGGCCTCGCCGAGCGGGTCGCAAAGCTGAAGGCCGAGGCGGCCGAGTGCGAGAAGGAGCTGCAGGCGGCGAAGCGGAGAGGAATGAGTGAGTTGGCTAGCTAGCTGGTGAATTCATTAATCGACTCACGGAGGAGCTGCAGGCGGCGAGGACGAGCGGCTCGACGTCGCGCGAGCGGCAGGCGGAGCTGCGCGAGAGTCTCGTGCGGCTGACGTCCCAGCTATCCTCCTCCAAGGCGGAGCAGCGCGAGAGCGAGCGCGACCGAAAGTCGGCCGAGGCGCTCGACAACCTCAAGCGGCTCATCCCGGGCACCTTCGGCCGCACGTTCGACTTGTGCAAGACGACGCACCGAAAGTACAACGCCGCGGTGACGATCGCGATGGGCAAGGCGATGGATGCGATCGTCGTCGAGGAGGAGGGCGTGGCCAAGGAGGGGATCAAGTACCTCAAGGCGCAAAAGTGCGCGCCCGAGACCTTCGTCCCCCTCGACTCCATCCGCGTCAAGGCGATCCCCACCGCACCGCCCTCAGTACCTGAACCCACACTGGGTTCGGTACGCTGGAGGTATGGTACTAGGCGATCCCCGAGCGGCTGCGCCGGCTCGGCGGGACCAAGCGGCCGATCCTCGACGTCATCTCCGTCTCTGACAAGTTTGCGCCGGCGGTGCAGTACGCGGTCGGCGACACGGTCGTGTGCGACACGCTCGACGAGGCTGCGAGATAGGGGGAGATGTGGGGAGATGTGGGGAGATAGTGCGACACGCTGGACGAGGCTGCGCAGCCACAAGCCGCCCCCCCCCGCCTCCCTTCCCCGCTCCCGGCCGAGGCTGCACTTCGCCCCTCCCACCCCCCCCCTACCCCCCCCCCGCCCCCCCCGTCCCACAGGCGCGGCAGCTCGCCTACCACTCGCAGACAGGCGAGCGGTACAAGGTCGTCACCCTCGACGGCACGCCCCGTCGACAAGGCGGCAGGCCCCTGGGAGGTCGCCCCAGAGGACGCCGAGGTGGAGCCTAGGCACGCTCATCAACAAGGCGGGCCTGATGACGGGCGGCGCCAGCCACCAGGACGCCAAGCGCGCAAACAAGTGGAACGAGAAGGAGCACCAGCTGCTCAAGGCGAGGGCGGAGGAGGCGCAGCGAGAGCTCGCGTCGCTCGGCACCGTGCACGCGGGCGAGGAGGCGCCGCGGCCGCGCCGCAGCAGCCCGCTCGATCTCGGCCGATCTCGGGTCATCCTGGCTGCTCTTTGCGCCAGGCGGAGGCCGCGCTGCAGCACAAGCTCGAGCAGACGCGCGGCGCGCTGCAGAGCGCAGAGGCGGAGGCGTGTAGTCGGCCCGCAGCGAGGGAGGGGCGTGCGTTGCTCAAGGGTGCTCTCCTCGGCCGGTGAACGCAGGCGGACCTGCAGCTGACCAGCAGCAAGGAGAAGAAGATCAAGAAGGAGCTCGCCGACCTCGCCGCCGCCGCAAAGGCGGCCGAGGCGGAGCTGCGCTCGCTCGAGAAGAAGCGCGACTCGCGGCAGAAGGAGGTGGACGCGCTGACCACAAAGGCGAACGCGGTGGAGGACGCGGTCTTCTATCTCCCCACATCTCCCCACATCTCCCCACATCTCACAAAGGCGAACGCGGTGGAGGACGCGGTCTTCGCCGACTTCTCCAAGTCGCTCAACCTGTCGTCTGTGCGCGAGTACGAGCAGCGCCAGCTCGTCGAGGAGCAGCAGAAGGAGGGGAGGGTGCTCGAGCTGCAGGCGCAGCACGACAAGCTCGTTCACTCACTCACTCACTCACTCACTCACTCACTCACTCACTCACTCATTCACTCACTCACTCACTCACTCACTCACTCACTCACTCACTCACTCATTCACTCACTCACTCACTCACTCATTCACTCACTCACTCACTCACTCACTCACTCACTCATTCACTCACTCACTCATTCACTCACTCACTCACTCACTCCTCTCGAGCTGCAGGCGCAGTACGACAAGCTCAACTCGCGGCTGCAGTTCGAGCAGCGCAAGGAGCCGCCGCTAAGAGCCCACAGAGGCCGAGTCGTGTGACGCGTCCCGGACATGTCCCGGACATGTCCACAGGACTTGCCGCGCGCCATCGAGAAGCTGCGCGCCGCCATCGCCGCGGACGACGCCAAGCTCAAGGCCAAGCGGGCCGAGCAGGCCAAGATCGAGGAGAAGAGCGAGACGCTGCGTGCGCAGGCGGCGACGACCGAGGCCGAGCTCGCCGCAGCCAAGGAGGAGCAGGACGCCAAGGCGAGAGTCCTCCCTTTCGCCGCCCGCCCCGCCGCCGCCCCCCCTCTTTGTCCCCGCTGTCTCTTCTCCACGCCGCCTCTCTCCACGCGCTGCGCTGCTCCCCTCCACCGCTCCACTCGCGACCGCGCCGCTCACCACTGCTACAGGGGCACTGCCCCCCCCCCCCCACACACACGCCCTCACACACACACACACACACACACACACACACACACACACACACACACACACACACACACACACACACACACACACACACCACCGCCCCCCCCCCCCCCTCGCAAGGCGGCCGAGACGAAGAAGCTCAAGAAGGAGCTCAAGTCCCTCTCCGACGAGCGGGCGCGGCTGCAGGCGCGGCAGGCGCAGCTCGAGACGGACATCCAGCAGCTCCGCTCCTCGCGGCAGCGCACCTTCCAGACCGCGCGCCTGCAAGAGGTGCGGCTCCCCGTCCTCGCGCCCGACGAGGAGCCGGAGGCGCCGCAGCCGCCCGCGCGCCAGTCGGGCAGCGGCGGCGGGGGAGGCGGCGGCGGCAAGCGGAGGCGCGGCGCGCAGCGGGAGGCGGCCGCGCCGGCGGCGGCTGCGGCGGGCCCCTCGAGGGCAGACTTGCTTGTGAGCGAGTCGTTTTCGCCAACGGGCCTGGTTGGGACGGGGACGATCGAGGGCGGCGCGCAGGCGGAGCCAGCCGGGGAGGAGCAGGAGGAGGCGCTGCGGGTCGACTTCTCTTCGCTGGCGGGGGAGGCGGCCCAGCTCGACGAGACGGGGGCGTCATGTCCGAGACATGTCCGAGACATGTCCGTGACATGTCCGAGACGTGTCCCTAGGCGGCCCAGCTCGACGAGACGGGGGCGTCATGTCCGAGACATGTCCGTGACATGTCCGAGACGTGTCCCTAGGCGGCCCAGCTCGACGAGACGGGGGCGGCGGCGGAGCTGCTGCGTGTGACTGGCGAGGTCGAGGGGATGGCGCCGAACATGAAGGCGATCGAGCAGTTCGAGGAGGTGCAGGAGCGGCTGCACGCCGTCGAGGGCGAGTGGGACACGTCGCGGTCTGCTGCGCGGACCGTCTCGCAGCGCTTCTCCGCCGTGCAGGCGCCGGGGCCGAGCGGAGCACGGCATGCGCCCGCTCTCGCGGGACACGTCCGCGACATGTCCCGCCCGCGTCCCCTCAGGCACAGCGGGTGGAGCGCTTCATGTCGTGCTTCTCGCACGTCTCCAAGGTGATCGACGACATCTACAAGGAGCCGACCTAGACCCAGCCGAGACCCAGCCGAGACCCAGCCGAGAGACAGCCGAGAGACAGCCGAGAGACAGCCGAGAGACAGCCGAGACCCAGCCGAGACCCAGCCGAGACCCAGCCGAGACCCAGCCGAGACCCAGCCGAGACCCAGCCGAGACCCAGCCGAGAGACAGCCGAGAGACAGCCGAGAGACAGCCGAGAGGCAGCCGAGAGGCAGCCGAGAGACAGCCGAGAGACAGCCGAGAGGCAGCCGAGAGACAGCCGAGACCCAGCCGAGAGACAGCCGAGAGCCAGCCGAGACCCAGCCGAGACCCAGCCGAGACCCAGCCGAGAGACAGCCGAGAGACAGCCGAGAGACAGCCGAGAGACAGCCGAGACCCAGCCGAGAGCCAGCCGAGAGACAGCCGAGACCCAGCCGAGAGACAGCCGAGAGACAGCCGAGGATCCGGCCGAGGGGAGAGGCCCGCAGGCCGTGCAGCGACGGCCCGGCCTCCAGTCAGTGGTACCCCTCACGGCCCCCTCCTCCTGCCGCGTGCGCAGGAGCTGACCAAGGTCGAGGGCGTGCCTCTGGGCGGCACCGCCTTCCTCTCGCTCGAGGACCCGTCCGAGCCGTACTTGCACGGCATCAAGTTCACCGCCATGCCGCCCGCCAAGCGCTTCCGCGACATGGAGCAGCTCTCCGGCGGCGAGCGCTCAAGGAGCTGTGAACAGCGTCTCTTCACACCTGCAGCTGTGAACAGGAGCAACTCTCCGGCGGCGAGCGCACGCTGGCGGCGCTGGCGCTGCTGTTTGCGATGCACGACTACCGCCCGTCACCCTTCTTCGTGATGGACGAGATTGACGCTGCGCTCGACAACGTCAACGTGACAAGCGTCGCAAAGGCCCGCGTGCCCCCTCCCCCCCCCTCCCTCCCCCCCTCCCCCTTCCCCCCGCCCGTCGCGTGGGCCGGCCGTTGCTTGCGATTTCGATGCCGCGGAGGGCTCGAGGCGCTCGGAGGATCGCGTGGAGATGCCCAGCCGTCCCCCCCCCCCCCCCCGGCTAGCCCTCTCCCACCGCCCGAGTCTGGACCGCCGCCCGCGCCTCAGTTCATCCGCGCGCGCGCCGACGAGGGCAAGCTCCAGTTCGTCGTCATCTCGCTCAAGGACAACTTTTACGAGAAGGCGCAGGGCCTCGTCGGCATCTACCGCGACCGAAAGCTGCAGGGCTCGAACACGGTGATGCGCCGCCCCGCGACCGTCCTCCGCCTCGCCCACAACCGCCCCCGCTCCACACGCCCCACGCCCCACGCCCCACGCCCCACGCCCCCCTTCGCAGGTGACCCTCGACCTCGATGCCGTCGAGCCGCTGCCGGCCGGGGCATGACGAGCGTGAGCCTCTCCACGCCGCAGCGGCCCGAGAGGCGGACGGAGGGTCGGCACCAGCACCGCCGCCGCCCGAGCGAGGAGTACTCGCCGTCATGCGCACTCCGCAGTACGTTACTCACCCCTCCGGCTTGTGTCATTGTGCGGAGGGCCGCGTCCGGGGCCCGACAGAGTCGGGAGAGCGGGTTCGGTTGTGCAACCCCAGTACAGGGTTGGGGCAAAGGCACGAGGCGCCCCTGGAGGATGAGCGCGAGAGAGAGACTCTGTGACTGTGTGCGCCCATATTACACTCTTGCATGTGTTTGTGGGTGGAAAATACACCGGCTGTCATACCTAGAGAACTCGAGACATCGGATCTCTCGCTAGACGCACTCAGCATGCCTAGCTAGCCACTCACAGGCGCACGCACTGCCACACAGGGCCTCACAAGGCACATCGCTATGCGCGGTAGCAAACCCAAACGCTTCGAGGATATTCATACACCGAAAGGGAGGGTGGGAGATGGGAGGGGTGCTCGTAGTGGCGGGTCGACGGCGGGCGACGGGGGTGAGGGCAAGGGCCAGGCGCGGATCTCTAACAACGTGGCATAAATGGCTCATGACTGGCGGATGCGACGGGGGGGGCGGCGGCGGCATGGCGGCGAGCGGCTGGCGCGAGAGAGGCGTCCGGTATGGGCGGGGGCGAGAGGGGGGGAGGGGGAGGGGGAGAGACTGTGGAACCCGCCCACTGAACGAGAAGGGCCTGTTGACGAGGACGCCCGCTCACTCTGCGACGGGGACGAGCGCCGCCTCATCTATGAAATCAACATGTCTGGGGCGGCGACGGCGGCCAGGATGCCAGTGATGAGCCCCAGACCCATCAGCGCAGGCATGATGTAGACGAAGGGCTTGAGCAGAGCCGGCGACTCTTGGAGGGCTCCGGTGAAGGCCACGGCGTACGTGAGGATCGTGAGGACGAGGAGTGCGAACCCGAACCCGGCCTCAGCCTCCCAGAGGGTGGAGATCTCGTCAAAGTCGCACGGCTTGCCGTCGCACTTGCACGCCTGGGGGCAAGTGTCTTGACCGCGGTCGAGCCCGAGCACGTCGTCGATGGTCAGATACTTGACGTCGCCCGCGCAGTACTTGTTGGCCTCGTCGACAGCCTCGTCCATGACGAAGAGGTAGCCGGTGTTGCCGAAGTTTGGGACGAAGCTGAGGATGCCGAGGATCGAGAGGACGAGGAACACGCCGAGGTACCACTGCAGAGCGAGGGTAGGGCGAGGTTGAGGCGGTGCGGCGGCGACGGCGACGCAGCGCCAAGGGAGACGGTGGCGGCGG